ACGGACAATAGCTTAGTAAAAACATTTGGATGTAGTAGATACTAACTTAGGTACAGTGCCGACTGGCCTGGTCAGCGTGGAATAGATGATATTTCCCGCGTTCACCACGGGAATCACGTGCGAATCGTATAGCGTCTACAAGGTGACTACCGACTGGTCTGGAGGTCGTGATAACCTGGGGTAGTTGATTGAAGTATTTCAGCAGAGCCAATTGTTGGCCTGCTTCGGAGTGAGCTGAGGCTCGGCGTTGCTGCTGGTCGTGAACGTCGTTCTTCACCTTGGACGGCGACGCTGACTTGAAGATGTCCAGGTCGGGATCGTTGTTGGGCACCACCACCCTCTTGAGCATGTTCTCGTCGCGATCGTCGTCGCCAAAGTCGAGCTTGTTGCCGGTTTCGTCGAGCTTGGAGTTGAACTCGTTCAGCGTCTTGCTTGGAATAAACTGATAGATCTTCATCGGCGGCAGCGTCTTCGTCACCGGCACACACGGAAAGAACGATTTTACTAAATTTTCCTCATCTGAAAATAATTTTTGTTCAATGATTAAAATAATTTTGTGCAAAATAATTTGCTAGAATATCAAAACGTTTTATAGCAGTGCTTATCAGTTTTAATACTCCAATAACTTATTTTGATGATTCAACAAAATATTATTTTTAGATCTGTTTTCAGCAAAATTTTTATACCTTTCAATAAAATCGTTTTTTCCGCGCGGGCGATGTTGTATGTTTCATCACCAGCCGAGTGATGTTGTTGCCAGCATAGATCATCGGCAGCATATGCGTCTTCAGCAACGTCTGCGTCATCGAGAACGTTTCCATCAGCGTTTCCAACGGCGGCATCGCGCGTCACCTGAGCGGCGTCCAAGTAGATCACCGGCAGAGTCACGACGGACGACGAGTATTCGAGCAATCGTACGTAAGCCTCTCAATGAAGTACATATTAAGTTCGTAAGGCAGCATCCATTTAGTTATTAGAAATGCCGATAATAATTATACAATATTAATTATAAAATTACAATACAATCAATGATGCCGTATACATATTATCAATTACGGTACGTTACATCAATTTTATTCGATAATAGTTTAACACATCTCACACATGAGGGAGTGAGCTTATAGAACTAGATATATCATTCTTGATTCACAATAAGTACGCGAACCATACTAACATATTGTTATTATTATTAATCATTCGTCAGTCATTCATTCACACATTTATACGCCTGTTTGTAGAGGTGTGCGAATCAAGCCTTTGCATGGTCGAATCGAATCGAATTTTTAATACGTGTTTGAAATCAAATTGAATCGAATCTGAAATTTTCACTTAGAATCAAATCGAATCGAATCTCTTTAATTCGAATACGAATCGAATCCGAATCAAATTTTCCCATATTAGTATTACATTAGGCGATCGATTCGAAATCGAACAATTGTTGATTCAAAATTATCAAACTATTCGATTTTGAATTTTGCAGATTCGAATTCGAATCGAATCAAATCTATTGTGATTCGATTCAATTCGATTCGATTTGAATTCGAACTATTCGCACACCTCTACCTGTTTGTTTCAGTCCCATTAGAGATGCGGATTCTCATGAGGGAACATTTCAATTGCTGGTACTGAAAGGCGCCGTTCTATATCAGCACATTGCTGGTCGAGATACCCTTCTAGGCGGCGTGTGCGGCGTCGTATTTGGTGGTGAGCTACTAGTTGATTTGATAACCCATTGAAACGATTTGTATAATATTCTTCATGGTAGTCAGCATAGCCGCCAGCCTGATGGCGCAAGCATGGGGCATCTTCATCGGCGTTACCACGCCGATTAATTGATTTGAAGTTACGCAGTGGATATATAGATTAATCAAGAAAATAATAATTTACAAATCATTCAACATGCATCTCATTATATTTCTCATTTTATTCATTATATGTAAAATTTATTATATTTCTCTTGCGCACATCCAATTCCAGTCCTTTTCTATCCAAATATTTTTTCTAGAGTTCCAATCTTATTAACATGCTTCTCATCCCATCCTCCACCTCCGCCAACACCATGTCATCCACATATAACAGCGAATAAATTTTCTCTCCTTCTAGCTTGATCCCATACCTCACCATCAATCAGACCAAATATTTTTTCTAAAGTTTCAACCTTACTAACATGATTCTCATCCCATCCTCCTCCTCCGCCAAAACCATGTCATCCGCATAAACAACGAATAAATTTTCTCTCTTTCCAGCTTAACCCCGTACCTCACCATCGATCAGACCAAATATTTTTTCTAAAGTTTCAACCTTACTAACATGATTCTCATCCCACCCTCCTCTTCCGTTAACATCACGTCATTCGCGTATAACAACGAATAAATTTTCTCTCCTTCTACCTTGACCCCATACCTCACCATCGATCAGACCAAATATTTTTTCTAAAGTTTCAACCTAACATGATTCTCATCCCATCCTTCTCCTCCGCCAACACCATGTCATCCGCATATAACAGCGAATAAATTTTCTCTCCTTCTAGCTTGACCCCAAACCTCATCATCGATCAGACCAAATATTTTTTCTAGTTTTAACCTTACTAATATGATTCTAATTCCATCCTTTTTCTCCGCCAACACCATGTCATCCGCATATAACAGCGAATAAACTTTCTCGTACATCCAATATCGCGATATATTTCTCACTGAGAAAAAAATTTTGTTGAAAAACGCAAAATTTATTTCATTTTACCAAAATATTTAGTCCGATACGTTCGACAAAACGTTACTACGATGAAACAAAATAATTTGTTACTATTATAAACAAAATACTATTTAGATCGGAAGAGCACAC